TCAGCGTAGAGGCCGACCAGGCCGGTTGAAAGCCCCGACCCCGACGATCGGGGTCATGGCCCTCAGCCCCGAGAAACGACCAGACGAATGACGACCCGGGGTAGCTACCTGCTACGGGTACGACACCTCGGGGAACCTAGAAGCGGATAAAGACCATGACGGACACCACATTGCACAGGACGGCTGATGAACCACCGATGTGCCTACAGTGCCCGCCACGGTTGGCACAATAGCGCCACGTCTCGCTCTACCGCAACGTGGCCACACGACCATTACAATGGCCACACCCAGTCGGACACCAGAAGACGGCGTAGCTTGCAAGCCAAGTTAGTTAGGATCTCCCTCAGGCTCACGACCCTTTGGTCGGGTGAACCTCCTCTTTGTATCAAGCCCTGGCCCCGAACTCTATATAAGGGCAGCCATGGCACCCATCTTGGGACATCTTGACATTCTTCATCCTCTACCATTCCATCCATAGCAGTAGGGCTCCTGGAGCTTCTCTTCAGGCTGTCCCTCGTCTAGCATAGGTTCTACTACCTTTTTCACCATTCTTGCACCCCCATTGTAAGAACTTCATAGCATTCAAGCGAGGAACATGCACTCGATCTTCTCTGAGACTGGACGCAGGGCTCTGGCCTGAACCAGTATAAATCCTCGTATCTATTGGATGCAACCATCATCTTCCTAGAGCAGCGCGGCAATCATATAAATTTACTAGTCCGGTTTATGAAACACCGACACAATCGATAAACATTGTTGAAATACAATTTGGCCACTTGTAGAGCAGTATATGGATGATATAGTGGTAAGAAATGGCCATCTCTGGTTAATTTGTCAATCGACATCGGCACCATTATATTTACGAAGACCCTCAACAAAATACATAGTGACTATAGTCTAGGCTCTTGTAAGAATAGGCAATGGTTGCAATAACCGCGAGGAAGCTTAACATGCTCACCTTTATCCTGTTGGTAGTTCTCACAAAGACCGGATGTAACTGATGACAGATTGCTTCAACTTAGGTCAAGCAAAAAGGCTTTTAACTCTATGGTATGTGACAAGAATTTCAGAATGCCCTCCAATGCCCTAGCATGTAATGCCAGGAGAATATGATTATGAGCAAGGGCATTAATTTTATGAAAGGAAGACTGTGGAGAAGAGGTCCCAAGTATATATTTAACCTCAGCTTGATATTTGCTCCCACGAAAAAAGGTCAGTTTTGCCCGTTATTAAAAAAATAAACGAATAAAAAATCATTTTTGCCTGTTATTAAAACTCAAGTCGTATATTTTACCACTTTACGCTTTCCAGTATTATAAAACATATTCTGGTTGTTACACTCGCGAACCTATAAAATAGGCTTAATTTTGAAAAAGGAAAACAAAAGATGATCTCATCGTAATAATATCCATCATCTATAGCAATAGCCTATGGGTATGGGCAAACATATGCACCAACATATAGTGCTGCTGTGCTGCATGCCTTCTTAACTTGCTGCCCCAACCTAGATCTAGCAAATAGAAATGCCGATATACTAGCAGGGCCTAGCTAGTAGTAGTAGCTAGTTGCTTACCGCCTGAAGAAAGCCACGTAAGCTAACTGTTTTCTTTTCATCCGGATATATAGGGATAGGTTTGTTTTGCAACTTGCACAAATGCAAACAATCGACACCGAAAGCAACAAGCTATAGCTACGATCGAGGACGGACGGCAAAAAGCGAGAGAGAAAACAAGGAGAAAAAGGATCAGGGCTAGCTAGCTATGTGTGCACAGTGCACACAGACACACATGACACATGCATGTACAGAGACAGCAGTACGCGCGCCATCATTCGTACGTGTATTTTTCCCGTTTCGTTTTCCCCTTGTCACCTTGCGTTTTCCGCCCCCTTCTCCATGCACGCATGCATGTTAATCATCTCCATCGCTGTCTCGACGTGCGCAGCGGTAAGCTACGACGACACCGCCGCCACTTTAGGGTTTCTATTCTTTTCTTGCCGCTGCCGCCGCTGCTTGCCCGGGCAGTACGCGGCAGCATATACGTACGTACGCACTGTGCCTGTTCACGGTTATCAGCTCCTTGTGCCGCGCAGTTTCTAGGGCACGCCATGCGAGCTGAGTTTCAAGGACACTTTCGCTAGCTCTCACATGTGCGTGACATCATAGCCACTTCAGTTCATGAGATTACACATATGCGTAGCATGAGGTTAATGACGATTTATTAGTACTTATTTGCATGACAGTAGTGCGTGCATTTAGCATTTGAAAGTTTATATAAACGTGAACTTGGAATATAATATCAGTGACAGGAGTATTTGATACCACCGTACCTGTGCTGTGCACATTGTTGAGGGGCAGTGGACCGGCCAGTGACCCATGCCCATATGGGGACCTGAAGAAGAGGCTTTTGCAGCAGCTCGCAATGATAGGAATTCGCCCCTGCCTCCTGCAAACCGTGGCTCAATCTGGACACATCAATGTGCGTGCCTGCAGCAGCAGCAGCTGCTGCCACAGCCAGCAGCAATGTGTTTGGTTTGCCAACATCTTTTGCAGCCCCACTTACGCAGGAGTACATAATTTATCTGCATGCTTCGCTTTTGAAACCTTTTCAGCATTTTGAAGGAAGTGCTAGTTGACCACAATTATGATGCGTTACTTATGTGTGTTGTTTGTGACGTGTTAACATGATATTTTGCATTTGTTCTTTTGTTATAAAAAAATCCCAGGGAGAGCACTTTTGGAACCCATGTGGATTTTTCTGATACTACTCGATTCCACTATGAATCTGAGCTCCAACGATATTGATAGGGCTTTTTTTTTTGTTTCATCTTATTGTCAACGAGTTTAGAGTGCAATGCATCGACTAGGGTTCGGCGTTAACTAGCTAGGGTGTATTGTGGTGGAAGGGACAAATTCAACTGAGAACATCATCGGAGTCGTCATCAGGGTCAACTTCACTAAAACATTGATTTCTAAGTCCTAAGAGAAACTCCAATAGACTCTCTATATACTTTCTAATTGCTAGAATACAAATTTTGGTGAAAAATACCCTCCAATAACTTATTTAAATGGTTATTTAAATATAGCCATCTTCTATTCCGAATTTCTCGCTAGTCAACAATAGAAAACGAGAATGACTCTTTAGAGTGCACTATGCACACAAGATATAGAAAAAACTGTTGGAGGGTAAAAAGTATATAGAAAGCGAATTTTATAGAAGTGACTCTCCAAAGGATAATTTCAAGAGTGAAATGTAGAAAGACTCTTGGAGATGCTCTAACAAATATTTTATCAAATAAAGGATTTACAAATTTTGTCAGCTCGGTAGCACTACCAAGATGGTGTGATGGCATATGGCATCATATCCATACAAGAAGGTATCAGCGTAAGGCGAGCTGACTGCATTGATGTCGTTAGCAAAAAGACAGAAGTGGGCAAGGATATGTGGGTGAGGATGAAATCTGGATCGACCTTGATAGATCAAGGTTGGGGTGGGGGGTGGGGGGTGGGGGGGGGGGGGAGTATGCTAGGGACAATTATAAGGGCAGCTCCAGTGTCGCGTCAAATCATGCGCCTCGAACAAAAGTAGAGTTCGTTGCCTCCGGTGTACGCATCGACTTGCAGGAACTGAATGGAATTAAAAAAAACACGTTTATCAGCAATGCTCGCGAGAATAGGGGAGTGGTGGGAGGCGACCTGTCCGAAAGAATTTGCCCCGTTCGCTTGAACTTACCAGCCTGGCTTATCAGTTATGGTACAATATTTTTCTCTCACAACTAATCAGCTTTCAGCCGGCTTATCAACCGCAGAAACCATCAACCGGTGCGACTCATCTACAAATTGCAATTTTCTTCACATAGTTCGCTTGTGGCCAACACTGGAGCTGCTCTAAGTGGGTTAGGGTTGAGGCTGCTGTATTTCATTGAACGATGAAAAATGGACCTATATATATGGAAATAAAGGTTAGAGAAATAGTACTGCTATTGTAGCGAAGTAACGTGGGTGTCTAGATATATTTTCCCTGCAAATTAAAGCAATAGAGCGAAATGGGTGGCTATTTTTTTCGGAAGGGTTAGGTGGAAAAGCTAGCAAAACCTGCCCTGACCCAGCCCACTCTGAACACGTACCCAAGACGGTGATGATTCAAAGGAGAGGAAAGGCCGGACTGCAACGTGCGCGCTACAGAGATACTGAAAACGAGTGAACCGGCCGGCCAGTGCATGCTCTTTTTGTGAGGAGAGCATCCTATAGCTAAAAGGACATGCATGTAGATCGATCGGTCGATTGGGCAATCGATCGCAGGGGACAAAAGGTGCAAATCAGTGCTATCCATGTACGCCGAACAATCGCTGCAATAATATGTGCCCTGCCTGATGAAAAGCCTTTAGTTTGCTGCGGTTGAAGCGCCACTGAAGACGCAATTAGCTTGGAAGAAAGCTGATCGAGGTAGTAGAGAAGCATATGCATGCATGCAACGACTGATGATCATCAACATTCAACAGTTAGTTTCCCCGTGCTTTTAACAGAAACGAAACGTGATGATCGAATTGTACTATATAGTTAGTTTCCCTTTATTAATTACATCAGCGCGCGCATCTATGATGATAGATGAGATAGAAATTTTAAAAAAGGCAGATCTCTGACAGCATATGAAAGCTGCTGATGAATTAGCACGCACTAGCTGGGGCCTGCAGGGACAGGCCAACAGCTAGTACTGATGCAAGTACTGTACACACAGCACAACTTGAGCTAGAGGCCCTTTAAAGGGCTTGCCTAGGCTAGCTGCTTGCTCCGGTACCCATAGTACTCGATCCTCTGAAGCGGCCATATAGCTAGCCCACACCACCACTAACCCCAAAGCATCATCGTCATCGTCAACCTTATCGTGCACAGTTATTGACACCAAAAGGAGAGAGATCCATTCCGATCCATCCTGCGAATTTTCTTTCCCTGCCGCCCAACCAAGAACCACACTTTGATCATCAATCGATCGCTAGCGCATATGCAGGCATATATGGAGGGAGGCCAGTTGAGTGCTTGCCTTCCTGGCTTCTTTGTGCCGGATCACTACGCCGCCTTCCCTCTTCCTCTCCCGCTACAACTCCCTAGCCAACCAAACAACAAGCTTTTCCAGATGCCGTTTGTAGTTGACCAGGAAGAGACCGAGAACCATGGCGGGATGCTCTCCTCCGACCATTGTGGTGGACTATACCCGCTGCCGGCACTGCCCTTCGTCAGCAGCTCCGGCGCCGCCACCGCAACAGCATGCGGTGGGAAGCCTACGGCCGGTTTCATGCCCAGTACTATTGGCGCTGAGGAGGTGAGGTGATCTAGCTTAGCTTGAAGCTTTTCTGTCGTCGACGACCTTTCTTGCTTGTTTCTTATGAGAGGTTTCGTTCTTCCGCAGGTCTGCACCTCGGTGACTACTAAATTAGGTTGCAACGAGAGTAATAGCACATGGTATGCTCTCTTGTAAATGTTTCTGAAAACTTTATTGGCTATAGTTAATTAGGGTTTTGATGGTGTGTGAAGCTAAGTGGGGAAGTGGCGTGTGATTGTGCAGGTGGAAGGGCTCAGCAGCTGCGACGATAGCGGAGAGAGGGAAGATGAAGGTGAGGAGGAAGATGAGGGAACCGAGGTTTTGCTTCCAGACCAGAAGCGACGTGGATGTACTGGATGATGGCTACAAGTGGAGGAAGTACGGGCAGAAGGTTGTCAAAAACAGCCTCCACCCAAGGTATCTGCAATAATCCACATCATATTCCATGAATTAATTTGATTTAGAGGTTGTTATCCATGACCAGCTCTACTAATTGTACACACTCCATGCATTGATGCATGCATGCGGCATGCCATGCTTTTCTTTTGTTGGTTATGAATATGTGGAATCTGTTCATCAAAAAATATGTGGAAGCTAGCAGATTAACAAGTAAACCTTAGATGATTAATTTTATAAGGATCCAATAACAAGTATCTATTAACAAGTATGTTTGCTTCACTCCAAATGCATGCTAGAATTAATTCGAGTTACATTTCATCTCTATTTTTGCAGAATCATACTACTATATATATAGGACGAATAATGTTCTCCTTTAACACGGTTACAAACACATTTATGCTAATAACAACTAGCTAGTAGTTTGTGATTTAATTCCTATTATTCTATCTTACGGTTTTCTTTCTCCTCTAGAATTTATTTAAGTGATATATTAGACTTCTTAATTGAGCATATAGCGAATTGTATAATGAGTGAAATTATTGCAAGAGGTAGCATCATATGTTGAAGAAGAAAACCAAAGAGTGGGAAACGAAAAAAAGATGTGCCAGTGCATATTAATGGCTGATCGGTCGAGTTAGTTCTGAACCGTATAGGTGGGATAGACACTTAGATAGTGGATCAGAAGTTCAGTCTTTCAGATGATAGTGTCCCATGCCTGGTCTACCGTAGGCTACAGCAAACAGGACGAATGAAGTGTGTGCACATGCACATATATGCACACACAGACAGGTGTATCAGAACTGTCCCACAGTCTCTAAGATCCTAGCTTGTGTAGTTGTGTTTCTTCAAAGATCAGATGCACACACATATATAGCTAGCTAGATTGAGCTAACCTAGCTAAGAGATCTATATATATGCACCACGATGATAATCATTTAATTTGGTGTAACCTACAAATGCACAGGGTCTGAATACTACAATCTTGATTATTATTGCCAAAAGAAATGCCTTAACAGAGTTAACACTTCGATACACAGAATTAATTAAGTTGATTTCTACTGTATGAAGTACCTCTGGTCACTTGATGCTTTGACCAATATCCAATCGGTCTTTTGAAACTTGACTGTTTTATAGTAGTTTTCAAAGTATTCAGTTTGCAAGCGTAAAAATCATGCATAGATTCATCTTTTAAAAATCGCTTTGATTATCGCATACCTTTTTTAGATTATAACTGCTTCCTTTTGTTTGAAATTACAAGGCATCATATAATTTGTTCAAATATATAGGTAAAGTAGTGGCCAATGTTTCACCTCGAGCATTGTTTGGATGTAGTCGGATTCACATTAATCCACGTGTATTGGGATGGATTGGAGTGGAACTTAAACTAAATTTCACTCCAATCCACCCCAGCACATGTGAATTGAGATGAATCCGAAACATCCAAACAAGGCCTCCAAGAGCATGTTTAGATCGGCTAAAACTAACTGTTAGCCGCAGCTAAAAATTAGCGTGTGCTAACTATATATTAGCAAGTGCAGATCTGTAGCCTCAGCTATCCCTAGCAATGTACTACTATTAGCTCTCTCTTGTTAATTAGATGGTTATCCCTAGCTAAGGGGCAAACAACTAGCCAGCCCTAATAATAATGTTTATACATGACAATTAATAACTTACAGTTCTTGATGAATAATAAACTACGTATCAGTTGAGAGAAGAAGAAAATCAGAAATATATGATAACCCAGGTAATGATCAAATGTATCTATATATGGCAGGTAAATGCTCCTGTCATGGATAAATTTGCATGCATGTATCTTACTTAGAGTAGGGAAATTAAAATTTAAAGATCAATACGTTGTCTCGCTAGTAGAGACTATATTTCTAAGTAAATAACTAAATACGTATCATATTAGTCATCTTACCTGAAAAAATATATGAATTTTGTATGTTTCCTTTAATTTCTATGGAGAAATGTGAATCTGATCGAGACGACTTATTAGATGTGAAACATGAACATGCCGAAATATGTATGGGCCCAAGCCTGAGGGAGCTTAATTGCTGTTCAATATTTTTTTTTATAGAAGGTATCCTCTATATATCTGATTAACGCCGGCGCGCGCCTTGTTTCGCGCTTGGCATGTCATGTGCATTATGCAGGAGCTATTTCCGGTGCACTCACAGCAACTGCCGCGTGAAGAAACGGGTGGAGCGGCTGTCGACGGACTGCCGCATGGTGATGACCACGTACGAGGGCCGCCACACGCACTCTCCCTGCAGCGACGACGCCTCCTCCGGCGACCACACCGATTGCTTCAGCTCCTTCTGATGAATCTATCTGTCCCAACTACGACCACGATTGAAGCTGCCGGCGAATCTCGCAGTTAAGTAGTTCTGAGTTGATGCAGGGCAATATATGTTTATGGATCTCGATCTTCAGTTTTGACGGATGGATGACCCAATGCGATCGATGAACCCGTGTCATGCATGCGTACTACTCATCATGCATGTATGTAATCCGATGTGATCATCCGCCACCGTGCAAATGATCCATCCGTCGATGTATGCGGTCATGTAGTATTATGTCAAATAAAGCTACACTTATTTTTTCACTTAGCGCGTTTTATTTCTGTGTGTATGCTATATATACCTGCTCCAGTGAATTCCTGCTGTCTTGCAGTGGTTATTAACCATGCATGCTAGCTGAAGTGCAGAAAGAAAACAAGCACACAGGCATGACTGCAATGTACTGTATATGACCACTCCAGTTGGCCAATATATGCGTCATGCGTGTTATGAAGATCGTACTGCCTGCTGCTAAGTAACACGTTAGAGACGTACGGTACTGCTCCGGCCGGCTGAAGTCTAGCTGACAGGACAAGAAGAGCTAGCGGCAAACACACAACATTAGTATGGATGTACACCCTGCGTTCATGCACGCTAATGATTGTGGAACAGGCGCACCGGCACCTGTTGCACTGACGACCGAAAACGAACACTGGCTCCCAAACAAAGCACCATTAATTCGGGCGTGGTTTTCTCTTCATCTTCAGAGAGAAGAAAGGCATGGCTGATGGCTTTGCAGGGTCATGATATATAGGTGCAAGTGCGACCTGGCCTGGTCGTCAGGTCCCCAGATCGCCGGAATCATTGCGAAATCGAGCGTGTGGCAGGATGCTGCATGGATATGCATAGCCTCATCCTCCATCCATCCATCCATGCCGCGTATAGGCGTCGTATGCAAGCAGCGGCTCTTTTGCAACCGAAATGCTAGCGCACAGATGGGACGCCCGCACGCACGCATGAGAAGCCTACCCCGACACCTAACCCGCCCCCATCCCCATCTGTTCGCCCCGCTCCAGCAAACGCACCCCGGACCGTCGGTTCCAGCACGCCGCACGCCACGTCCGCCGGCTACCGGCTCGCCGTGCCCTAGACTCAACAAGAAACATGTGCAACATAAAATACTTGAATGCAACATACGTAGATGAAACATCTGGAATAAACAATTGCAACATATGTATGAAAACATATGCTACATCTAGATAGAACACTTTCAACTTGCAACATGAAAACACTTGCTGCAACAGAAGACTGAAACAGGTGAAACATTTTGGAACACATTGTTGCAACATATGTGTGAAAACATATGCAACATCCATATGAAACAATTGCAACATGCCTCTGAAATGTCTGAAACAATTGAAACATATATTTGTAACATAGGGGGAGAGAGAGGCCTGGGACGGTCGATTCCGACCGCCGGGGTGGGATCCGACGAGCGGCTGAGAGCGAGCACCACCCAGCAGCAGAACCAGCGGCGCGCACGAACACCACCACCAGCGCCAACGGCACCGGGCTTGGCTCGGCGGCGACGGTGGGGCATGGGGGGTAGGGAGCGTCATGGCCGCCGGGGGGGGAGCTCGGTCGCCGGGGTGAGAGAGGGCGTCGCCGGGGTGGGGAGGGCGCCGCGCCGGGGCGGGGGAGAGCTGCCCACTCCCCCGCATGCGATACCGTCGCGCCACCTCCATGGATCTCGCCGGAGGCGAGTGGATCTCGCTCGTGCTCCATGGATCTCACTGGGGTGGGGGAGAGGGCCGTTGGATCTGCGGGCATTGGGGGCTCCCGGTGAGCACGCTGGGGTGGGGAGGGACGCGGGGCGTTGGTGCGCTGCGGCAGGGGATGAGGAGAGCAGAAGGGGTAAGGATGGGGAGGAGGAAGCGAAGAGATAAGTTTTGGTTTAATATACATGTGGGCGGGAGAGCGGCGGGGTGAAAATGTCGCCCGACGTTTATGTGGTCCATCGCACGACACATAGCATTTCCGCTTTTGCAACGCCCTAGCTAGTCGTCTCGTTCTCTACCTTATATATTAAGTTTTTTTTTAAAAAAAATCTCAAGGTCAACAAAGGAGTCTGACGAAACTCAACTTTTTTTGAAGCTATATGTATACGCGCTCAATTGAAAACGCACTGGCACTAGTGGTAAGCAAGGCCCACGCGATAATGGCCGGCCGCAAGCGGCCTGCGCTAGCTGCGCTCGACCACCATGGCCAGCCATGGGAGCCGGCCGACCGACCCGGGTGGTCCCCTGCTGCGCGCCAATCTGTCCCAAAGTTGTAAGCAGGTCAACTTCGCATGGATGGACTAGAACTGGATCATGCACATGCCAAGCGAAGCGGCCGGCCGGCCGGCCGCGCGCGCTCCACCACCAGGGACACCAGCTCAACGCCTCAACCCCACAGTTCTTGACGATTCCGGCAGCGTCCGCGCGCGCCGCCGCCGACCCGGCTCCTCCTGCTTGCATTATTGCCGGCCCTGCGGTCGCATGTCGCACGTTGACGAACATACGGGCCGCCGAACGCGGACTCCACGACGTACGGGCCGCCGCACCGGAGCAAGAAACTGGTAGAGGAACGCGCGCGCGGCCGGCCGGCATGGAGATGTAGACATGGGCAGTTCGTGGGCTGGCCACACGCGGAACGGCTGCTCGTGGGCTGATCTCTGATAGGCCCGTGGGGCTGGATTTTCTGCTGGTCTGCTGCCTGCGGCTCGGACAGCCCCACCCTACTTATGACTGGGCCACATTTGGGCTGCACGGGAACCGAATCCACCCAAGGTAATCTTTCCTCTCAGGTTCTTCAGAATCTGTTTTGGATGGCGAATGTTGACTCCGTGCAAATCAAGCTTTAGATCCACTCCCAGATTTTTCTTCGGAATCCCGCCTGCAAAACATCTTCGAAACTTGCATGCTAATCCGGTCCTTGGGTGCCACAGGAGGAGTATCCATCTGAGGGTCTATTTTCCCCTCAAAAAAAAAACTGAGGGTCTATTTTATGAGAACGGCAGGTGATTAGGTGAAGCGTTTGTTAGAGAAAATTGACAGGGACCGCGCGCTGCCTCCACCCTCCGCTCAAACATAAGGTGCTGCTTTGCTATGCAATCTTTGTCGAACGAAAGCAGCTAATTTGTCAGCACCGTACTGATGACAGTACAGTGTACAGAGGAAAAATAAAGGGTCTGTTCGGCAGGACTGAAAAATACTGTTCCAGCTGGTTGTTGTAGAGAGAAAAATATTGTTCTAGCAGGACATGAACAGTGCCCCGCTGAGTGGCCTGGCCAGCCCCAGCCAGCCGAATAAGCCAGCCGAACAAGCCGAAAAGCACGTGGGGAACACGAGAGGGCCGACTACAAATTAAAAGTGGTTGCAATGGCAAACCTCAATCTATCAACCCTCCTTGATTGCATTGCATGCTTACATGGAACGAGGAGCATGCAGAGCGCTGCAGTCGTTACAGTAACGGCAGATATCGTTCACCAGCCAGATCAGGGAAGAAGAAGCAACACCATAATCAACTGTTGGATATGCGTCTCATGATCCAACATTTATTCTTTTATGTATATGAGTTTAAACATTGAATGTGCTTGCAATATTGGCCTTGTTCGCTTCGCTGAAAAAACAAGCCGAAACACTGTTTCGGCTGATTTGTTGTGAGAGAAAAACGTTGTTCCACCTGAAAAATACGGATTATAGATTGATGGATGCTTCTTCTTCTTTAAGAGAAAAGTATGAAGCAGGAACTTTTCTACCACCCCGTGTCCAAATTATAGGTCGCTTTATCTTTTTAGATATATAACTTTTGCTATACACCTAGATATATAATATGTTTAGATATATACATAATAAAAGTTTTGTATATAGAGAAGTCAAAATAATTTATAAATTAAAAACGGAGGAAGTTTATATGAAAAAGTATCACAGAAAATGTGATAGACAAACAACTGGCCGAACCAGAAAGGCAAAGGTTGCTCTTGCTTTCTTGTTGGAGCGGTGCACACGTTTGTTTTGAGCGAGGCTATCTCCAACAATAATAATCAAAATACATGATTTATTTGTTCTTTGGGTAGCACTACAGGTAAAAGGTTCAATACATATTCGATATCTTCTCCACAATAAGACCCAAAAGAGAATCATTTCTGCAAATAGGTTTTCGGAGAGAGAGGATGTCCATATTTTGGTTGTGCCTCTCAGGCAATCTAAAATAGGTCTCCTGTATAAGTACTTTGTTGGAGGCTGATTTTAGGTCTCTTGCTACTTATTTTAAGTTTGAAGGATCATATGGGTTTTTTGTTGGAGGAAGTCCGAAAGGCCTTCTGCACTTACTGAGTGCATCCTGCATAAATCAGCACATAAGGTTGCATGCTGCATCAAAGGCAACTTGGGCTGCATCCTGTTCTATTTTTCTCGATATAATGGCATTCTGTTCTACATATGTGGTGCATGCTAGACATCCGTGGTGAGCATGCTGCGAGCCCTGTGCAGGAACGAATGTTGTTTTAACTATAGAAAAAGAAATCAGACGTGGCAGGTGTAGGACTTCCTAGCTCCTTTTCCAATATACAGAAGCCATTAAGCCGAGATAATAACGGCGGTTTGACATTACGTAGAACGCGTCCATTTTTTTTAGTTTTTACTAGCTGGTCAAAATTTTGTTTATTAGTTTTTTTTTTTCCGAAACACAGTATATTGACACAAACATTTATGGCCTGTTTGGAACTGCTCCACTCCACATTTTTAACCAACAAACAGATAAAGCTTCAGAAACTTGTGCTTCAGAAACCCCATGTTTTTCGTGGAGCGCTCCACTGTGTAGTTTGTGGTGTAGAGTTCGTGGAGCGGCCCTAAACAAATACTTAAATAACTGTATATATTTTGTTCATTAAAAAGAAAAAGGTACAAAGAGCGCATTTTTTTTGCCTAACTCTCAAAAGTTAGACCTTGACAGTTATTTCTTAAATAATTTATTATTTATAGCGACTAAACTAGTATG